TGTATATATATGTGTATATATATATGTATATATGTGTGTGTGTGTGTGTATATATATATATATACTGTCACTCTCGAAAAAGGCAGTTTCGAAAATTAGAAATACATTGGTCGGGGCCACTTTCTCCAGCAAACTGTGAAGCCAGCCCAACCTGGTCTTATTTCATTGTGTACTTAAATTTTCTGGCTAACTTTGGAAAAATGAGAATATATACACGAAGCTGGCAAGAAAGCTGCACTCGATAATGAATCTTACAACGGTGTATAAAAACACAGTTAACGGTTAAAAAAGAAAAAGCGTGAACTCCGCAACGCTGCCATTCAGAGTCGCAAGGTTAAGCCCGTAAGTGGAACACACGAACGGAGAAGGGAAAGTAAAATCTCTGCATTACCGGCCGAGTTTGCGGGACACGAGCGTGCGGGAAAAGCTCGTCCTTGAGCTCATATTTCCCAGCGCCGATAGATCGCGCTCGTAATCAAAATGGATTTAAACACACGGGCACGCAGTACGTGCCGTGGCCTCGAAAAGTCGGTGACTCGGCGGCGGCTGTGAGTCCGACAAACGGTTTGCGACGTTGCCGCTAGCCTCTGTGTTTTAAAACCTATGTATTTCTCCCGTTCCATCTCACACACCACAGACACGCACGCAATAAATTCCTCCTCGGTCGCTTTCAGAACCATCATTGATGTTTCTCTCTCTCTCTCTCTCTCTCTGTCTAGTAATCGAGAGGCATCATTGATCAAAGTAGAAAATAGCCGAATAATACAAATGAAACAGGAAAAGACGAGGCCTACGAGCAAATCACGGGAAAACGTATCAACGTTCATCCGTCTCGTTACGTGTGTGTATGTGTGAGAGAGAGAGACGAACGGAAAATTGAAAAAGCAACTCTCAATCCCGATATATCAATCGAAAAATTCACGACGGGCTACATGTCGCGACGGGGTAGGGTCGGCCTCGAATGGAAGAAAGGCTTTTTATTGCAAATTTACAATTGATTCTACCTCGGTCACGTCGTCGGACACACAGGATGCGCGTGACTCTACTGCGCAGATGACGTCACACGAACTCTTGCTCCGGTAGCTCGGGTTATAACGCCGTTTGGAAGGTTTCCTATTGGCCTCGGTGACGTCATTCAAGGTCACGTGACAAACTCTCGAGAAGTACCTTTTTAA